TTTTTTTGTTTTGTTTTGTTTTTAATGCTTGAAGGTCCTGCAACAAATGGTATTTGTAAATGCAAAAAATAAGCTTTTAGTAGAGTAATAACAAAGGACAGTTTCTTGGCATTGCCAAGACTGGGGGGAGGGGCAGAAATGTGCACATGCATGTCCTAATCCTTAGGTCTGGCTAAAACCCAGAACAGGCCAGAACTAGATTTTAGCAGCCAAACGTCTCCAGCTAGCTTGCTAGAGACTGAATGAACTGACTTTCAGTGATAAATAAACAGAACAGCTACCTGAGTTTCTGTGTCTGTCTTTTGGGTTCACACAATCAAAAATATCTTTTCTAGAGGCCATATAGAATGGCAGAATCTGGGGATGCTTAGCCTGGAAAAAGGGAGGTTTGGAGCTGAGAGGAGGAGGAGGAGGAGAAGGAGGCATAGTGTTTGTCTCCGAGGACTTAAAGGGCTGGCATGTGAAAGAAAAACAGACAGCTAGGTAGGCGCATAGATACAGACAGAGATAGATTCATATATGTGTATATACTTCTATCACTGATGTCAAGAAATATACACACATGTGTGTATATACATATATATGACAGTCTTGATTTCAAGAATATATATGTACACACATACATACATGCATATATTCTTGATATCCAGAGTGTTCCAGAAATATGTATGTGTATATATATATACACACACATATATATCTTAATATCAGTGACAGACATAGATTTGTAAACATATGTATAGATGCATAGCATCTATGTATGTACACATGTATACACAGATACAAAGATACCCATATGTATCTATATATATATACATATCTATATATGTCTATCACTGATGTCAAGAAATATAGACATATATACACATACATATTTCTGGAATATTCTGAATATCAAGAATATATATGTGTGTGTATGTGTACATATATGTTTATATATGTATGTTTTTTTCTTTACATCAGTAATAGAAATAGTGGCAAAGGATGGAAGTTTTGGAGATGCAAATTTCAGCTTGATATAAGGGGAAATATCCTAATCACTTAAGCTGTCAACAAGTGAAACAGGCTACCTAGGCAGGCATCACAGAATTGGACGGTTGAAAGGGACCTCAGCGGCCATTAGTAAAACCCAAAGCCAACACTAATCCTCACTATAACAGACCTGATGAGTGAATATCCAGCCAGTTTCTACTTGAAAACTTGCAAGGATGGGGAGCTTACCACTTCTTGAAGCTACAGCTCGAAAGCAAGAGAGTCGGGAGGGACCTGAGATCATCTAAGTCCAATCCAGGCCTTCCAAAAATGCAGACAATCTGCACTGTAGGCAGGTGGCCAACCAGCATCTAGGAGATGTGCGAGAGGAGGGTGGCCATTCGGGACTGAGTTGGATTGGGTAGTCATGAGGTGGCTTCCAATCCTAAGGGACAGTCCATGATGCTAACAGCGATAAAAACCATCCGGGGAATGCACTGGGGTCAATGACAGCAAAGCCTCCTGTTCTGTTTAACTTCATTTTCTGATTAATGAGGGGCAAGCCACATGTTGTCTTGGTTCAAGACCTTGCTCTTGGAAATCCTTCTAAAACTGCACTCAATCACTTGCCTGTGTTAGAACAGAAAAGGAGTATCGTTTTTCTCTGATGATTTCAGTATATCAGGGTCAGCATGCCGAAGACTGTGTTCAGTGTTCAGAGATTAGATGGAATTGTATTGAGCCCAGAGCATAGCCTGAAATTGCACATTTTGAAAAATAACCCTGATTTCAGCTTACTTTATGGTCTTTGGTCCTACACGTAGAATGCCTGGGATTGAGGAGGAGGGGGTAGAAAGGGAATCAGGTTCCCTGAGTGTCCCAATTAGCTAGATTCTGTTTAATTGAGGATTTGCTCAGCTATTTCTTCAAAGTACAGCAGCTGTTGATTTCACTATGTCTCTAAGAGGTAGCTTTCAGCAGTGAATAAAGTGCTGGACATGGCATTGAGGGCCCCAGGTTTGAATCCTGACTCAGATACTTTTTTTTACATTTTTTTTAAGTTTTTAGGCATTTGGGGTTAAGTGACTTGCTCAGGGTCACACAGCTAGTAGGTGGCAAGTGTTTGGTATGAGGCTGGATTTGAACTCAGGTCCTCCTGACTTCAGAAGCAGTGCTCTGTCCAGTGTGCCAACTAGCTGCCCCTCAGATACTTTCTACCTGTGTGACTGTGGGCAAGTCACTTAACTGCTCCCAGACTCAGTTTTCACATCTGTGAAATGGGCATAATAATTCCTGCAGAACCCACTTTTCACTGTTTTTGTGAGAGTCAAATAAGAGAATGTCTGTCAAATACTTTGCAAATTTCAAAGCACTATATATGTACACATGTGTTTATATGTATGTATATATGACAATTACTATTAATGTATAAAACCATTCCCTCACCCATCTCCTCCTACCCCCTTGCCAGCCATTACAATAGACTTTTTGAATACACAAATTAAGAAAAGAGATTAAACCTAGCAATACTGTAAATTGTTAAATAATAATAATAATTAAAAAAAAAAACTTTCCCCCAAGTTCATTTTGTTTCTCTGATGCTTTTTATGGGTCTGCTGCTTTAAGAGTCTGCAGCAGCAGTAATGACCTTCAGTTCAAGCTACTTCCTGACTGTTAATGACCATCTGGGTGAAAGGCTCCAGACTTGAATCTAGTTTCCTTCCAGCAGGCGATGGTGGCTGGGAACCCATCACCTTGTTACCATTACTCCTCAAATCAAGTTATTTCCACATTATTGTCAAATTAACTCCTTTTCTTAGAGCGATTTCAACATACTTTAGGCAGTTTCAAGGCACCCACAGAATTTTTTTTCTCCTTTTTTTTTCTTTAGGACAAGTAAGACAATGTCAACACTGTGAAACTGGAAAAGTATGTTGGGCAGTTGTAGAAAGAAAGCAGTCAAACCTTGGTGTGGTCTGAGTTAACAGGACAACTAGATGCAGAAAATGCATTGCATGGTTATGGAAATGAGTCGGAAGAACACGTTCCAGCCTTTAGACATTTCTATTAGGGAAATGGATTTATTGACATAGCTAACCATTAACACATACAGCATGGGTACATTTCCTATTGGAAGATGATCCAGGGTGAGGATTTGGAATGGGGTGCATGCCTTGCTAATACAGGGATGGTCTACCATGGAATTTCAGAGAGCAAACACTGGTCTTTTCTGTCACTTTTCCTTTGAGGATCATGATTATAATCCTAAGCAAAAGAAATGGATAAGAGTCAGAAGAGCTGATGGGAAGAAAAAATAGAATAAAAAAATCTGAAAGATGTTGAACTGAAAGGACCAACACAAATTTCGCCATCTGGGATGGGAAGGGAGGCCCCGGGGGATGCTCTTCTGGGCTCTCTGATAAAACTGCTCATAAGGCAGTGAATGAATCTGGGATGAGGGTGAAACCAAGTGGCCTATGGGCTCCATGGTCCCCAGAACAAGCATTAGATAGCAGCACTGGTAGGCCAGTTCCATCTGGACCCAACGGACAGGAGCTGATTCCCTGAGTCACCTAGACACCCAGGAATTTTTAAAGGCACTAAACAAAAAGATCAAAAAAGGAGACTTAGCACTAGCCTGCTGGTCTCCACAGCATCCTCTCCTGACACAGATCCACAGTTTCGTACCTCTAAAGGACAGCACTCCCAGAACACACACACACACACACACACACACACACACACACACACACACACAC